GCCTATACGACCATTCGTACTATAAATTTAACGACATTGGCCTTTCGTACTATAAAATCAAAGAACGACCAAGAATCTCCAATTCGACAAGATTTTCCGGAATCGTCAGTTTTTTTGGTTTCCGTCAAGAAATCTCTGCCCGTATCAGCAGCTGTTGGGGTTTAACAGCTGTGGGGCAAAGCTGATCATCACAGTGTGTGGTGTGTGCGCTGTGGATTGGCGCAGTGAAGGCCTGGCAGCACGCTTCTTTGAGGTGGAGGGGTCAAGGGTGGCAGAGATCCTGCAAAGAACCACTATGCGGATATTGCAGGATTTTGATTGGCTCAATCTTGGTTAGGCTCACTTGCGATTAGCCTTCTAGTCATGGCGGTCGTTGCTGGTGGTGACTCCATAGACTGCCCAGTGATGCAGGAATGGCTAAAGCTAGAAGCTGTGGTGTCTCGGGCTTGCACCTGTGGGCAAGTAACTTCGGTGAAAGGCAACGCAATCGACCGCACCACTGTGGCTGACAATCATGAGCTTCTGGCACCATTGGTGACACACTTCGGTAACTCGCTTGGTAAAACAAGTTGATTGAATCATGATATAGTTCTCTTCACTGAAAGGTACTTGAGCGGCTTCATTTTAGATGTATCATACAGTGTCGACCCACCACATCTGCACCGCCCAGGTATGCGACCGAGCGTGGCCCTGCTGGAGGACTTGGTTGCCAGATTTCTCTTTTACTGTCGGCCACGTGGAAAGCCCTTGCCAAAAAGTATCTTGGCTAATAATAGGCCCACCCTCTTCATTTGATCAACTTAGAAATTGTATTCATTGCATGAAATGACATCGCATATATTGGATAAAGACCGGTCTTCACTGCGTATCTCAGGCGAAGACATCAAGACTGAAGCATGGGTACTTCGGAATTTGATCACAGTGCTATGTAGCGCAGCCCGGCGCCCACATACCCCTCGAAGCCCTGAGATGAGGGCGCTGTTCAGAGCCATTGGGATTGATGCCCCGGAGCCCCGTGCCCAGCCAGTCAAAGATGGCGATGGAACTTTGGTTGCAACATCTTGGATGTAAGAACATTTCGAAGCAACCAGTTTACTTGGTTTCACCCCTATGCCCATCAGCTTTGACCAATTCCGGTAGTACCACAGTTTCCCAGAATCCGCCTCCTCTTCAGGATTGGAAGGTGATGGTGAAGAAGGCCTAGAAGCAATGGAGTCTGAGGCTGAGGGGGAGTTCATCGATGACCCAGTGCTTCAGGCTAGGCTGTTCTTTGTTGCTGATGTACACTGGTTGTATCAAACAATTATTTATCGGTGAATGTTTGAGTACAGTAATTTATTTGGCTGGCCAGGTTCCAGAACCTCGACCTTTGGAGTCTGCCAACCCAAAGAATGCCGAGAGCAAACCGGCGACTGCACGTGACCAGGTTGCAACAATGACTCTTCAACCTATTCTGGCCTTACAACGTGCATCACACTTCAGAATCCTTTGAGGGGCCAGGGTTCGCCAAAAATGCATAATTCGCAAAACAATCCAAAGCTTAGGTGTGGAGTATGCGTTGCCAGCGGTCCCTACTCCGATGCCTCGCAGCGCATCCGATGTCAGTTTGCGCACTCCTCCGCCGAGAGGTGCCTGGGCTCAATTTTGTTTTCGGGGCAGGCAACAATGATTTGGACGCACCGCATGTAGCTTGACTGTGTTCGAATGATAGTCACTATAAGCACCATGGATGGTGATACTGGAGGCACGTTGGCTTCCCCTTTGAGTATGACACCAGTGAAGCTGCACGTACCAATGAAATGTGGCTACATCTGCTTGGATTGCAGGGTGTCCCACATCAATCCGGAGAAACTCTTTGAGCAACCATGCGATGGTCGTCTTGTGGGGTTCAAGAGTAGCTGTCACCGCATTGTCAAAGCAGCTGTTCAGTGCCAGAACTGTTCTGAAGTTGGTGACAACCAAGAGGAGTTTATGCAGGAGAATTGTGGGGGGCAAAAAACGGCCTCCCCGAGTTCAACTGAGATCCACACCTCTCTCTTCAACGACCCTGTCCCAGAAAATGTCTCGCTGGCTGAAGAGGCTGAACAGAAACTCCAAAAGCTTAAGATCCTGAAGCAGTTGGAGGATGAGCGAAAGGAGCTTCAGCGGTTGCTGGGTGCACAGTCTCGAAACTCTTGCATTTTGACTGCACCAGCAAGCAAAGAGATATGCATTGATACATGTGTCTAGAGCTTAAAGCCCTTTTCATATGAATGATAAGTGTTTGCATATGTTTGCATGTTCCACTTCACGCTGGTATACGTACTGGCCATATCATGCCTTCACTCAAGGTATTGACCAGCTGGATACTCTTCCTATGGCACCGGAAGAAATGGAATTCTATGTGGACGTGGCCAAGAATGAGCCTCGTGTGGGCAAGTCGCATGTCTTTGCAGCTGATATCGAAGCACCGGAGGCAACCAATCAAATATACAGTATACAGTACGTATGTGGTTCTTTTCATGATCTGGTGAATTTGATGTGTGTGTGTGCGTGTCTGTGGCCTTGGTTTCATTTGTGACGACACTTATCCCATCTTCAAATGGTGAAGGACGTTCATGCGATATCATCCGCAAGATGTTGCGCAGGTGAGCGATTGCAAGGATGTCGTCCCCGCCTCAAGCGCAAAGACAGCAGCAGCACAGCAAGAGCAAACAGCAGCGGTACAGCAAGAGCAACCAGAAGCAGCGCAGCAAGAGCAGCCTCTCGCCATCCCAGCCAGTGCACCTACATATCCTGAGCCAAGCGCAGCAGAAAGCACACCTCCCATAGTTGAGACTGAGGCATGTATCTCACCGGAAGAGCAAAACAAACTTTCGGGTAAAGCCGAAAAGAAGAGGGGTCGTCCAGCAGGGAAGGCTAAGGCTAAGGCCAAAGCAAAATCACACCCAAAAGCAAAAGCAACACCCAAGGCAACCGCCAAGGCAAAAGCTGCTAGCGCAAAGGCGAAAGCGAAGGCAAAGGCAAAGGGAGGCAACAAGCAGGTGGTTGGGGAGGGAGCTTCAAGCGCTGTTGAGGCACCAGAACCTAAGAGAAGGCGCAAGACACAGGTTGAGGTGAGTGCGCCAAGCAGCAGCACCGGCAATGATGCAAAGGCCAGCAGGCCTAAGAGGAAAGCACAGGCAGAACCTGAGGTTGATGCTGTGGACCCAAAGCAGCGGACAATTGAGGACATGCCCGCAGTGATCCGCCGCCCCCGTGTGCGCAAGCAAACCCCAGAGGGATGCACGCCTCCGCAGCCCGCGAGCGCAGATCCTGCTGCCACAGAGAACCCAAGCACAAATCTTGATGGCGCAGAGGATCCAAACCCAACGCCAAAGTCCGGCGAGAGGACTGCTGCAACCAGTGGCAACTCCAGTGAAGCAAAGCGACGCAATGCCCGGAAGTCAGCAGCCTACCGCAGGGCAGCAAAAGCAGCCAAAGATCAGGGCTTGACTCCTGATGAGTGTGCAGCTGCTGGGAGGAAGGTGTTTTAGCTGATTATCAATCCCCTTGCCATGTGTTTTCATGCGTGTTCTACATGTGTGTGTGGGTGTGTGTGGGTGTGTGTGGGTGTGCCTGGTTCGCGACTTAGGCCTACGCTGAAACCAAGTGAGTTCCGAGATCAGTCAATTTTGTCTCGATCATGTTTTTGAAGGTGGAACAGAGCCATGGAACGCAGCAGGGTTAACATAGTCGTTTCCAGAAAATATTGACCGGCCTATATCGTATCCAGTATCCAACGACCGTTTCCAGAAGTTGTTCTTTTATGAAGAGATGGCTCACCATGGGGTTTATCACGTGCAGTGAGTGTCAAAGGCTGACAACTCCAGAACACGTGCGGGTCGTAGTATGATCGATGGCATCATACCTAATTTTACATATAGGTTTCACCAGGGGCTTTAGAAGATGGCTCTTGGTGATCTGGACTTTGGCACCAAAATTGCTGGCTAGAAAAGCTGTTTGTGGCGCGCAGCATGCGAATACCTGTGCCCATGTCCAACGCGCACCCTGGTTTGAGGGGAGGAGATTGGAGATAACTTCCCACATGCTACTCGCTGCTCTGTCAGGTGAATGGATGGGCTGGCGTGCTCGCGCTCGGATTAGAGGTGCCACCCTCCTTCCTGCCTAGTTGCAAGTTGGCCGCTGCGAGGGCGTGGGTCATGATTCATGAATCCTCCTAGATTGATCCAAGTGTTATGCACAACTGTGATCAACTGTGCATTTTGTATGCAGCTTTGCTCCACCCATCTGCATTAAGCTTTTAGTTGGGCCGCAGTGTCCCGGGGCTTGTGGTGTGCAGCCATGATTGGCCGCTGTTTGGTTCGATCCCTCCTTCAAGTACGAGCGCCCAAAGTTGGGATCTCGTTCGAATTACATGTTGATTTGCAGAGCTAACATGTTTGGCCTTTCTCCCTGAGGTCTTTTTGGCAATAGTGTGGGTCTTATTTAGACCGTCTCACACACAATGTATCAAACTGGAGTGCCGTTGTTTTTTGCAGGGAGTATGTTTCGATGATCAGGTCCTACTACTATCGTGGAATGAGCGGCTGTCCTTCGATAATGCATCCAAGAACTACAACTTTACGGAAATCTTTTCAGGGAAAGGAGAAGTATCAAAAAGGATGCAGGGTGCCCAGTTTTCTCGTTTCCCCTGGACATGTGAAGAAAAACATTGTATATGTTACTATGACACAACACGCTTTTGAGGCATGAGCTTGGGTACCGCGTGGCATCCATTGATTGGGACTACAGCAAAAAACATATGAACTTCTTGGGAACAAGCGGCTTTTTGACCCTCAGCATAGCGTTTAAGTATGGCATATCCAAAGATGTTTCCACAAATCGTGGATTTCATGATTCAGCTCGGAATAGGTCACAGTCCCTTCTTTCCTTCACACATGTTTGCACCACGACCTGTCAAACATCCCAGGCTAGCTCTCTACACCGTCTTGAACCAGGATGAGCACGCCTTGACTTTGATGGCGCCGGACTGTGGGAGCTGGGGCCTGCCAGCAAGGTCAACGTCCCAACGTAGCTACGTCAATCCGATGGGCTGTGAAAGCTATGGTTTTGTTGACAGAGGCAATATCATGGTAAGCAGGTTTCTTGAACGCACCCTTTACTTCAAGCATCATAACACATCCAAGGGTCCAAATCATCATACTTCCACAAAATGACTTAAGGTTGGTATTGTGCATCTTGCTGATATTGAGTCGCAATGCCTTTTATTTGGTGGAACAGCCACGGCAAACTCTACTAGACCGCCACCAGCGTTGGCAGTGGTTCGCTAACCGAGTTTCTTGGGTACCTTGGAATCGAAAGTTGGCCCAACCTCCCATTCATCCAAATGCCTCGCATATTTATAGTTGTTTGACAATGCACTTCCGTAAAATCGACCTGAGGTGTTCGAGATCTCCTTTTGGATGCAGCTTCATGGCTCAGGTTCTCCAAAGCCGACCAAAATGATGGGAAATCTTAGGACTATCAACCGCCTTGACAAAGGGAAGTTGACTGCCAAAGAGAAGGCTAAGCGGTCTAAGGTCAAGACAACGCGTACCCTAGCAGGATTTACCATTCGTTCGCATAGTTCTTTTTGGTCTGTGATGACTTGAGTGCAAGTCTTGAAATCTTAGGCAAATATGTCGACAAGTCTGGCCAAACCAGATTTGTTGGTTGCAAGCATGCATTGAAATCAACACAGAGTTTTGGCTTATTAAACGTGCGGGGTCATGACGTTTAAGCCTAGTGGGTTTGGTTGACTCGCAGGATTTGACGCCTCTTGCCCAGGACATACCCTCGGGGCCTTGGAGATGCCATCCACCAAACGTACGTGGCGCAGCTCTCCGGGCCTGCGCATGGTGATCTTCGATTGAAACTAGAACCCTGCCCATCCAAGGGGCCTGTGGAACTTTTCGAAGAGATGGAACTGGGAGATTGCTGGCCCGATGCCCACCTAAAAGAATGCTTCGATTACTTGATCAATTGCAAATACACAAGGACGACATGTATATATGTTCATATTGTTGAATTGATCGAAATATTGGTCCATTTGGGTTCTTCGGGGTTTGATGGGGCCCATACTTGATCAAACACGTGCACCGGTAGGATCCCCACAGAATGGGATGATGCGATGAAGCGATTCGCAACTGAATGGGCATCTTGTTTTGTAATACGTGTCAGCTTTTTGCCAGTTAACGCAAAGAATTTCACTCTCGATCTAAGGCAGCAGCGGAGTCAGGTTTCTGAGTGGCTCTTACCACTACCTAATTAAAACCGCTGCCAAAGAAATCGGAGAAATCGGAAAAATCGGAACCGATTCGAGAAATTGGTAGCTCGGGTAGCACGACCGTGCCTTGGGGTCAGAAAAGGGAACCGCAATTCGTACCGCAATTTTCCGCAATTCGAACGCAATTTTCCGCAATTCGGCGCAATTTTGAAAATCCAGTACGATTGACATGTTTTTGATCATTTTTAACCACAGGGAGCGCTGAATTGTGGAAAATTGCGCCCGATTTCCGGAAATCGGAGCTTGCTGATCAATTTGGTTGAGTTGTAATATCCAAGAACCTTCTCAAACCGTGAGTTGCTATTTGGAAAGGTTCAACATCTTCGGTTTGTGGTCGTGACACCTAGCTATGGCAGCTTCGGTCAGCAAAGTTTCAGAGTCATGCGAGACTTTGCAATATGGGACGGGCCTACTTGGTCGCAACAGTGAGGGACCACAGGGTGAATCAAATATAGATGATTTGATTCGAGCACCGCGGCTGCAATTATTTACGCTGGTCTGATGTCACCCGCTTACGTCCTTACTAGTACAGGTTTTCTCTTCCCAAAAGTTGCCTTCAAGGCACAACGGGAGAAGATTGCAAAGTTGCGGGATGCCCTTAGCGCAGAGCCACCGTCAAACCTTCGACGGGAGCCGTCTATGGTTGAAGGTGCCTATACATGCATATGTGTTACATGTTGTGCGGATTGGATTAAACATGATTAAAACAACACCCACGGTGCCAATCCAAGAGCCCTTGTTTTGCCAGGAGCCCCAGTCATCGCACATGCCGAAGGTCGCTTCGTTTCTGGGTTCAACGAGACTAATGCTACTTGTACTCCGGGCAGTCAGGATGAAGGGAAACCAGTCCTGGAGAGGTCACTTGCCAAATCTTCACTTTCGGTGGCCCAGACAGTTGAAGAATCACCAATGCCCTCACCAGCACCACCTGGTGCTCAACTTGATGTTGCGATTGATCTTGATACACCAATGGTTCCTGGGCCTTCCCACACCAGTCACAAGTCCGCCGACCTTGACATGCCGGGTGAAGTTCCAGCTCCTGGAGCTTCTTCGTCTTCGATGCCTGCCGCCAGCGGCGGCCGGGAGGTCAGGGACAAGTTATACTTCAGGAAGCTTGGATTGGGATTAGCCCAAATAGCCAACATGATCCCACATGAATGCATATTGCAGTTCAAATTCACGTATCTGCATACACATAAAACACGCGCACACTTACGCATAAGGATGCGGAGGTATTGCGCTTCAAAGAAGGCATCCGCTGAAATCGTCAAAATGTTTGGCCATCGGGATGGACGCCCCTAGGCTGCCCTACATGTTTACACACAATGGTGTCATCTTGGATATGCATGTGAGTTATCAGTGACACGAACAGTGACACACTATCAACTTCTACAGAAGTCTTCCCCTACTAAGGCGACAAGATCCGTGAACTTCTCATCAAGAACGGCTTGCAGTTCCCACCAGTGGAGTTGCAGATCAAAAAGTGGTCAATTAAGACTCACCAGAGGACTAAGGAAGGTAAGTGGGTTACCCGTCACTATCTCGCTCAAGTCGAACACTGGACGAAGATCTGTCCTAAGTGATTTTTCTTGTGAAAACTACATGCAATGCACATATCTATAGCTACCCGTCATGGTACTTTCCAGTTAGAAAAAAATACCCAAGGAAGATGGTGGACACTGCCTTCGACTGGGCCGCCAAGAATTCCTTAATCCGAACTTCCCAGATTCACGGTGAAGAGGAGGCTAAGCTAATCCTGGGGGACAACTTCAGTATGAAGGAAGAGGAAGGAGAGGAACATAGCCAAACCATGAACTTGACCTGCGAAGAGCCTCGCCTCAATTTCATTGCTGACTCAGTGATAGACACCATGTTTACCAACTTAATGTTCACCGTCTTCTCGCCACATTGAAGCCCAAACTCGATTAGGACCCTGATGGCTCCAGCTTTCGGGACTCGACCATGCCCGACCTGAACTCCAGCGCCAGCAAGCTGCTTCAACGTGGAGAAGATGAAGGTGTGTCGCCTGGGGATCAGGCGGCGGCCAGCTCTGGTAGCTTTAAGTTTCCCGCTTTGGAGTCTTTATTACATGTATGGCACGAATCAGAAGCTCCATTCCATGATGTTCTCACCGCGTTTTATTAGTTGGTATTGGAGTGGCCTTGGATGTACATAAGGTTGGTCTTTCCGACGATTCAAGAGAACGCATCGGCCATTGCTATCCTACCTCACTTTCTTGAAGTATGTGGACGCAAGTTGGACAACTGCACCGGGGTCCAGGACTCCAATCCCGATTGAGTTGACGTGCGTCACACAATCCACTGGCATGCATCGTGCACACCTGCACCTAGTAATGTTGACTGGAGTTCGCCTGATGTTGTTATTTCACATCATTAGCTGACACCACTTGTACAGGACAAGTTGAACAAGGTCGGCACTACCCAAGCCCAGGAGTGTGAACCTGAGAGTTTCAACATGTATCAACTGTCAGCCTATGGCACGAGCACGTGTACATGCCCCAATAAAACCATGACATGATATCATTCACCGGCCTTTCGTTTGTTGGGCCCAGGCTGTCGAAGCAAATCTCGATCCATGTGAATACTTTGCAGAAGCTCTACAAGTCCCTCGAAACTTTGCAAGCGGAAGTTGCTGTCACCAGATCTGAGAGGCCCGCTATAGTCATCAATGTCATCGGAATCGATCTATAGTGGGTTTCACAAACAAACCGATAATTATACCATGATACCAATTGAATGGGCTGCCTTGTGAGGCCGGATATCCGAAAGCAAATCTTGCAGCATTGTTCTTCGTGTACACGCACGGATGTGGCGCTGAACAACTTGGTGGTTCGTGCAAGGACTGCAGCACAAACTTCAAAAGCGTGCAGCTGATGTTTTTGCTGCAGGAGCTTGAAAGGCAATCCGGCATCTTCCAAGAAGTCAAAGGGTGTAAAGCCGCCAAGTGGCAAGGGTAAGGCCACCAAGCCCCGCAAGAACGGCGGTGCTTAGGCCACTGCCGGTATTTTTGGCAGGGCGTCCAACTGAATGGAAGTTGGATTGACAGTTGACATCTTTTGACAAGATGTTCCGCATTTAGGTGGGTGTACTGGGTTTGTTGCATAGGCAGCCGGGTGTTGCTTCAGTTCAATAAACCATACCTATATTCAGCTTTATTCCTGAAATGTTTTTTCTATGTTGTGGCTTTATCATACATGACACTGTAGCGGCTGCCTGGAGCAACGTTGAAATCAGGGGTTCCAAGCTGACATCATCCAGCAACGAACGCAAACTATGGTGAAAAATGATCTTCATGACGGAGTCAACACAGGCTTCAACACTTATGGGCAACACAATGAACCAACTTATACATACATATGTGGAAAACCAACCCCTGCGCAGGTGTCTCCAGAGATGGGCTCTTTACTTCCAGAGTGAATGGTAAAGGCCCGGTCAAACCATGCCCGGTATCCCCCGACCTCCTCGCAATTCCGGGCAAGGCTTCACCATTGATGAGGACGCGGACCTGGCTGATGAACTTTTGGCTGGCTTCGAAGAGGGTGTGGCTTGGCTATAGCTTAGTGGCTTGGTGCCTGTCACATGTTTAGAATTTGTAGCTTTGCATTCAGTCATTCGCACTTTGTCAGTGGGTTGGTCCATTGGTCCCAGGCAGAATCAGCATCCAGAGTTGTTCGATTAGCCACAGTTGCCAACAACAGACTCAAGAAGCATGGTCCCTTGGCAAAATCAACAAACACGATCATTGGTTGCATCTGTTGTATTCTCAAAGTACTGAACCGAACCGAGCCTTTTGTAATTGCGAGTTGTTGTTCAGCCTCCCCTCTCCTAGGTTTGTCAGACCCTCTACTATCGAAAATGGCGAGATGTGGGAAATCGAAACTGGATTCGCACATATGCAGGAACTTGCACACCACTGTTCGCAAGTTCTCCAAGGCCATGCCGGTTAATTTGTCCAGTGTCAGAACATCGATGCGACTTTCGAGAAAGAGGCCCCAGGAAGTCCCAGTACAACATCCGGTGCTCCATTTGTCAGACTGGGTAGAATGTATCTTCAATCGAGGAGGCCATTTTTTCCTAGGAGGCCAAAGTCTGGATCATGCTGAACAATTTCGAGAAGTTTTGGTTGACTATTGGGAGAAGTACCATGCTATAGACCCTGGCTTCAATGTCCCTCGTTCACAATGGAATGAAGCTATTCCAATAGCCCTTCACGGAGATGAAGGAAGGGGTCGGCAGAAATTGCCGGTGATGGTCATGGCGGCCCAAACTATCATACCTCTGTTTGCCAACAACTCCAACATGGCTGGGACATTCAGCTTTGCATATAGCACTCTTTACAAGTTGTTCAATGAATAGGGAACCCAAAGCCACCCCGAGATACCCCATATGAAACACCTCTCTCTCAAACCAAGGCCATCACCTTGCTCGCGTTTGCTGTACACGATCATCCCATCACCCTACACTCCTCGCACCTTGAGGGATCTTCTGCGAGCTTGGGTGGACGACCTGAACAAATTGGCGACGGATGGGATCACTGTAGTTGGGCGGAGAAAGAGTTGCTACTTTCTGTGTGTTTTGGATTGTTTCGGTAATAACACCTCTGCAGTGAACCCTTATAGTTACATACATTGATCAGCCAAAATCACAGGTACTGTGGAAAGGGAGGGTCCACAAATTCCGGCTCATAGTCAATGCCATCAAGGGGGACTGGCCATTCCTTCGTTCATCTTGCGGGCTGGCAAACGGATTCAACTGCAAGGACAAGTGCCACCGATGCGTGCTAGCGGAACTTTGGTTCGCATGTGTCATGCAGGCTTTGCCTTTCATAACTTTTGGGAAACCTTTGCACACTAGAATGCAACCTAGGGTTCAAACAGCCGACCATGTTGATCAGCTAAGAACTGGTGGGACCTGAAGGGGTCCTTCAAGCGACTCCGGCCTGAAGACGTGAACCCGGAGCCATACAAGCGAGACCATCGGTCTCCGTTGCGTGATTTGTTATTTTTGAGGGGCGATGCCAAGTACATAAGAATCGATCCTGCTCACACATTTGCCATCGACGGCGTTGGCAAAAGTTACTATGCCAGCGCAGTGGTACTTCTCATGATGATGGGTTGGTTTGGTGGGAGCAATCACGATGAACGATTCAAAAATGCTTATTCCCGCTTCATGGCTTTTTGCGCTGCCCACGGAAAGAGTACTTCGATTCATGACTTTAGCTTCAAGACGTTCAAACTTCCAGTTGGCTCGCTTCTAGGTGGCAGCATGACCCAACCTCTTGGGGAAAAACACTAGAAGTTTGGTTAGTACTTGGTAACCCAAATGTTTAAGGACAAACCTCAATCAATACCAGCTGGGACGTACTAAGGCTACGTGCGTACCCTCGCGGTCTTGGCAAAGGACATGACGCAGCAATCTTGGGATCCTGGCTGGACCAGGAGCTCCAGCAGATCGATGTGGCCTTGGTGGCCACTTGCATGGTATTCATGTGCATTCGCATTTGACCTGTGAACATGTCCCCCAAATACCAATATCGAATCGGAAAGTCATGTTGCATGATCTCCTGCTTGAACTCTGATAAATATATGTTCCCATATCTTTCCACTCCAGGCTCCAGAATTTCGAGACATGATTGCAGTTCTGAAATGGAGCTGTGCAGCAATCAACAGATTCTGGAGAGCCATTTATGGGAACGGCATTTGGCTGCACCGGACCGTGGCAGCACAAATTGTGCAAGATGGCTGGGCTTGGATCGAAACTTTGACCCTGTGAGTCACATGTTTGGTTGCAAAGGTTTGGGGACTCACTTGTGGAATCACAGCCGGCTTGATTCTTTTCCTTGATGTAAGGATGGATACTGTACTCTTGCAGCCCTGACATCAAAAGCTGGGATCTTGGGGTTCCAACTTCGACCTAAGCTACACATGATGGGTCATTTACTGTGTCTTGACTGTTTTCATGTCCAAGAGTTTTCGACTGATGGATCTATTGTTTCTCCCCTGGGTCAGCTGGAAAACGCTAAAGCAGTGTGGTCTCACTCATCTAATTGAGGCTCGATTTGCAGTACGACATGGCCAAGGGTGCAGAGTATCTGATCAATGCATCAGTACATTCAACTTGGACCGATGAAGACTTCATCGGTCGCATTTCGCGAATATCCCGTAGAACTCATGTGCTGTCTGCAGCTCGAAACACGCTGCTAAGGGCATTGGGATTTTACAGACGCCAGTTTGGGAACTTTTTTGACCCTGCGTACTTGCACAACTCAGACTCTTAGGGCCGGGCTGGGAAAACGATGAAGTCGTTCGAGTGTGTTGCGCATCAGCTGTGCGTTGCAGCGGTCCGAGGGGGTGAGGTATACACCTATAGGATCACCAAATATCACCAAGATCTCTTGGATAAGATTCAATTCGTCAACTTTTTTTGGATTCGAGTGTTTTTTTCCAGTTCGTCATGATTTGAGGAGATCGTCAAGAAAATATCTCGTACCAGAAATTTAGCATACAATTGGTCCTCTAGGAGGACACACATCATTCACTCTCACGTACAACAAGACCGGTAAATACCGATGCATTGTACCCATACACACACGGGCACTCCATGTGTGGAATTGTGGAATGTTTACATTGGGGTGGTTAAGAAGGGGTGAATAGTAACAAGAAGCTACTAGTAGCAAAGGGCATCGCTACGTTCGTAACAAGGGCATTGCTACTAGCAGTGGTGGCTGCCGACCGGTTCCCTGCCCGTGGGCCTCCTGAGGTGTCATGGTGCTCAAGCAGAAGTCGCCCACGGCCTTTCCGACGGCCACAGCACCCAGCTTCCTGGGCGGAAGAGGCTGAAAGGAATGGTTTTTGAACCACAAAGGCCATGAAACCATGGTGTTAAGCTTCGTAAATTCCCTCGCCCTTTGCAAAATGACAGCTCTATGATCCTTCTACCCAGTCATAGACGAATGTCAAAATGTCACGTGGCGATTTTGTTTCATGACCTCTCTCAGGATTAGTGCCACCGTGCAACAGTGCAAACGTGAACCTGCAGTTGAGCACCTAGACCTAGCGACTTTAGCATAGGTGGTCAGTTCACCCTTTTTGAGGTACATAATATTGTTTTGTATATTGTATGTACACCCGGGAAGATTTACATGGAACCTGTAAAATGGACCTTTTCCTGTACAAACCAAAGGTTTTCAGATTCCATGTTCATCTTCTAGGGAGTATATACATATTTTTGTTTATTTGTTTACTTATGTCTGCATAGGTCCGGTATTATAGATGGTATAGCTGTTCCAAACAGGTGCACGGCTTGCGATGAGCCACGGCACAGTCGTGGTCTCCTAAGCTGCCACAGTTGTGAGGGTCATAGTCACAGAACAGATCCCCTTTGGGCTCCAACTACCGTCCGTAGTTAAACCTCCTGAGCACCACCCCAAACACCTTCGATTTGGAGGTAATAATTAGCTGATTTTCACCGCTCCGGTATCGCAAAGGGTGTCCCAAGAGCCTAGGCCTCTCAGCATCTTCCGTTTCCGTTGCGTCCCTGTGGATCGTCCGCCCCGAAAGAACACCCGCCGGCTCCCAACCGATATATGACCGGAAGATGTCGAAGTGTTTCCTCTTCCAGGAGAGGGCTGTCCGGGGAGTCGCCCTAAATACAAGTTCAATACAACATCAGTAACACGTTACAAGTTCCCCATCCCTGACAAATTAAGCCTTCTCGGAACGAAACCACACTATTAGCCTTTCCAGCCGCCTCCCATCGACTTTCCATCTCTCCGATTTGCTTTCGTCCGAGGTTTCCCGCGCTGCGACGAGCGAGGCGACCGCAACTGGAGCGCGCCGAGGCGCTCGGCCACCGAGAGGTTCAGATGTTCCTGCGCAGCCTTCGTCGCCGCGATCGCCAGGGCAGCGGCCTGCGATCGAGGCTCGCGAGCGAGATAGCGGGGCACCGAAGGGGGCTGTGTGAAGACGCACACAGCTCGAGACCGTGCAGAAGGGTTCCACACTATTATATAGTTCACTGATTCAACTATGAGTCAGGTTCTTGGGTTGTGACCTGTGAACACTGGACTTGGCCTTGTGTTGAAGGAACATCTCATATTGTTCTCCTTCGTGGTCACTCCACCTTGAGCAAAGCCCCCCTATAAGTTGGCAAAGAGTCCTCCCATATCCTTTGCCAGCAAGCAAGTCATGACAGCAGCTTGAACAAACTTCACCACAAGCATCATGAAACACATGACAAGGTGAGCCTAGGTCAGGTGATCGCGAGCTCCTGTAGGACACTTCTTTTTTGTTCCGTAAGAGTGTCCTACCAGGACTGGCGTCCTCTGAAACCAGTCTGCGCCACCTCTTAACAACTGGCGGCGCAGCTGGTCCCACGCCGCCTCCTCTTCCTCCTTCGCCACGAGCTCCCGAACAGCTCCCACAAGTGAGTCTCGCCACCGGAGATAGCCATTCTCATCTGGCGTGACTTCGCAACAGTCCCGCTTGGTGAGGTCTATTTTGTACCGGAGCCCCTTTTCAGGGTATCCATTCATTGACCCAACACGGAGCCCATTCCTCCAATCTTAGACCACATCGACCAACACCAAAGGACATTGACGTTGCCTCATCCGGCGAGGACGCCGCGAACTGCACACCACAGGTGGATGCCTCAGGGGCCGCAGCAACCACACATGGATGATTGACCAAGGCCGAACTGTTTCTAACTTGCACTTGCACACGAAAAACATGCGGGACCAAAAACCACACGACACAACTCATGAACAAAAAACACCCCGACCTCTAAAGTAGCAGAAATCCAATGTAAAAATTGGATCGGCTTCGACACGAAATGCGGTTTTCTCCTGATGAAATGCGGCCTCCATCGAATCTACGAACCCCCGTTGGTGTTGGTGACATCTTGCCAAAGATTTGCAGGACAGAGCTATTCGAAAGACATGCCGTCCGGTGAGTGCGGCATACTTACTTCTGCAAGTACTTCCTTTGAAAAACTGCCACATATGGAGACGTCCGTCCTACTCGCGGTCGTTTCATTGCCAAGAAAACATATCCTTCGATCGCAGGCGTTTGCATGATCCTTCCACGCAAATGATTCTTCCTCGTGGCCGAAAACACCAGGAAAGTTCCGAGTCCAAAAGCTTCGCTGCGCCACGCCCTCTCACCGCCCATCCCCTACAGCCGTGAGCACCGCCAGCAGCGCCGCCGCCTCCACCTCCTTAGCCGCCAGCCCGGCCGCCGCCGCGGCCGCCTGCGCGGCGGCCGCCGCGGAGGTGGCGGCCGGGGCCGCGGGCGCCACCTGGAGAGGAACGCGTGCGACGACGTCGGAGAAAAACAACTGACTGGAAGGTGTTTGGAGCCGATCAATGTTTTGAAACCACATCTTAAGTAGGTACTGCTACGTTTTGAACTTAGCCATTGGGTGCCTGGGTGGCTCACTAAATGGTGTGCTACGTGTCCAGGCTTAGAGCTCACAACGTATGTGTCCAATGCCACTCAAAAGGTATGCTACGTTGGAGTGGCCCCTTCCGTTTACCGTTGGATGGCTCACGTAAGGTATGCTACATCTACGTTTTCATGGGTCCTTCCTCCTCTAAATCTCATCCTCTGGTGGCTCACAAAGGTATCCTACGTTTGCATGGGTCTTCTTAATTGTCACTCTCGGATGGCTCACAAAAGGTATGCAACGGCGATGTTGAAAAGGCTCGTCCCCTTCTCTACCCTCGAGTGGCTCCCAAATATGCTAAGTGATTCACATAGATCAGTGCAGCGAGGAAGAAACGACAAAACATCAACTCAACAGTTTGATTTAGAATACGATAAACAAGAACACACATTGAGAAGCGATACACCATGAAACGAACAAAAACAGGAGCATCACAAGAAACAACCGATCCCGAGAACAACAAGCAATACCGATCTTGAGAACAAAACACAACTCAAACTACCAAGACAAACAACAAAATGACCGACGCAGGAAAAACGATAGAAACCACATGTCAAGAACTTCTTAGAAAAAACACTGAAATCTTCACTACAAACAAATACAAACAGCGGGACCAACATGGGAAGGAACAAACATAGAAAGCGCACAACCCACAAGCCACGACCGGCAACACCACCACCACCACCACCACCACCACCACCCAGCCTGGCACTTTGCATACAAAGAAGAAACCCTGCGCAATCAAAAAGCTAGTTCCTACATCAAAACCGTTCGCATCGAACACAAATAGATCAACATAGCCTTTGCGCAATAACGAGGAAGAGGACGGAGAGGAAGAGGAAGCAAAAGAGGAACAAGAGCTCCAACATCAAAAAGCAATCATCAGCATTAAAAACAAAGAACACACCAGCCTCCCGCAAGAAGAGGAACAGGCAGAGGAAGACGAAGAAGAAGAAGACGATAATGATGATGATGATGATGATGAAAAAGAACCAGAAGAGGAAGGCAATGGATTTCCCCCAACGCCACCACTGCCCCCACCGGGTGAGGGAGAAATCCCCCAACATAAAGAAAGAACTGCTTGCACTAAACAAACACTCACCATCACTCACCGCATTTAAAAAGAAACCACATGCATAAAAAGAAACTGCCCTATAGAAATATCCTGGCAAGAGACCCCAAAAAAGCGTGTGTGAGGTCTACAAGCAGAGAGTCTAGAGATCTAGACGCATTGGGGTCCACAGAGGTGATGGTGGTGATGAAGGTGGGGATCGTGGTGACGGTGGCGGTGGTGGTAAGTAAGTGAGTTTGAGTGTGAGTGAGAGTGAGGTGTGAGTGAGTGCGGGTGAGAGTGAGTGTGAGTGGGAGTGAGAGTGAGAGTGAGAGTGAGAGGGAGAGGCAGAGGAGAGAGAGAGGGAGAGGGTGTGTGAGTGAGTGAGAGTGAGAGTGAGAGTGAGAGTGAGAGTGAGAGTGAGAGTGAGAGTGAGAGTGAGAGTGAGAGTCAGAGTGAGTGGGTGGCTGAGAGTGAGTGTGAGTGTGAGTGTGTGTGTGTGTGAGTGAGAGTGAGAGTGAGAGTGAAGGTGGGTGTGAGAGTGGGAGAGCGAGTGAGTGTGAGTGAGAGTGAGAGTGAGTGTGGGTGAGAGTGAGTGTAGATGAGTCAGTGAGTGTGAGCGCGAGCGTGAGTGAGAGTGAGAGTGAGTGAGAGTGGGAGAGTGAGTGGCATGGATGTATTTGTGGTAGTTATAATTGTGGTAGTTGTGGGTGTATTTGTGGACGCATGGATGCATGTGTTCATTTACCAACATATGCTTCGTGCCCTGGAGCTGTAACAAGCAGAGCACACCCAAGTGCCAGGCCGCCACATTGTTGAACATGATGCCTCCACACGTCAAAAAAGGAAAAGGATGCGGTCTTAAATAAATGCTGGCCTGCTAAAAGCTGTGTTTGAAGCATTTGAAGCTGTGCGCGCAATTCTGTAATATGTTTTCACTCGCGGCCAACGCAGCAGCCCTGCTTCACTGATCTTCCTTTGGAAATCAGCAGCCCTGCTTCACTCACAACTGAATCCATGCGGAAACAGCTCATCCGCCTTCTCCATCAGTTCATCCAACATCTTCCAACCTTATTGAAAGTGTTTCCTTGCAACATGTTACATGTTCTTGGTTCTTGAAAGTTTTGTTTTCAGCGTGAATAATGCTTGTCCAACCCTTCAAGATCACAAACGTGCATACTTTAACAAGACAACAGGGAGTTCAAAGAAGTTCGAATGAAGTTCAGCAAACTCTTCTTCTTTCTCACAAGGCATCAAGCTGCAGTCCAATAGCTAGACCTAGGGCATTACGCCCCCGGAATGCTGGGAGAAGCGCTCTCCAATGGATCTACAGGTCAGGCTCCTATTCCACCCATACCCAAGTTCCTTCACTGGTGCGCATGCGCTTGTAGGTGGGAGCCGGCGGTCCAACAGACCCGCTCGCACACCCGGAAGAGCATGGCGAAGTCGATACAGGGTATCCGGCCGTCGAGAATACCGGAGGTAGAAAATGCGGCACTGGCGGAAATCCAGTCGGTCCACTCGGCGGAGGGTTGTTCAAACTCGTTGGCATGAGTTTCATAAAAAGAGAAATCAGCATGCACGTAAGTGAAATCAAAACGGGGTTGCAAGTCCATGCAAGCATCATTGCCAACGTACTCGAAGTCCAAGTCATGCAAGCGACATCCGGGCTCGCAAGCAAATCCAGTGATGGAGCTTCCTCTGCGGGATATATCCCAATGGCCGCAGGCGCCGAAAACACGATTCTTGTTCCTGCACGCATACAGGTGAAACCGTGGAAATCATTCGTCTGGAGAACGACCGTGAAAATCAAACATCTCACAATTCTGCAACGAATGGAAACACAAGTGGAAACACACACGAGGTACTAGATTCGACATGACACCAATGGAAACACAGAAAACAAAACTTATTTGATGCTGAAGGAGTGCACCATCGCAACGCTTGGCGTAGCTTAAGGGGCAGTTTGAGGAGTTTAAAGCTACGACATGAAGTGGGAGTATACATAGTATCATGAAGACACCTTGCAACATCCTGACAACACACGTTGAGCATAACGACGACGACGCTGCGCGGGCAAGGGAGGCACCTTGGCCTGCATGGATGGAGGAAAATGAAGTAGCTTTGAGATTTCAGATCTTAGGATGGAGTTCAGCAAAGGACGGAATTGAGGAAGTGAGACTCGAGTTCAAGTTGGTATGTGATCAATGAAGGGCAGGTTGATTCTATGAGAGATGATTATTGCCAACGCCTTCACAGAGCCATAGTGAAACAGAACGGCTGTGTGGAACAAGAAGAATTGACTTCAGAAGAGGAAAGATGCGTCAAGTTTCTTGAGAAGGGTAATCAAAAATGGTGACAAGAGAAAATGGCAGAAAGACTCATGGTACATGAAGCTAATGCGAGGAGACGAGGAGTCGTGAGTGCGAGTGTGAGGGAGTGTGAGTGTGAGTGGGAGTGGGAGAGTGAGTGAGTGTGAGTGTGAGTGCGAGTGTGAGTGAGAGTGAGTGAGAGTGAGTGTGGATGACAGTGAGTGTGAGTGTGAGTGAGAGTGAGAGTGAGAGTGAGAGTGAGTGAGTGAGTGTGAGTCCGAGTGTGAGTGAAAGTGAGAGTGTGAATGTGAGTGTGAGTGAGTGTAAATGTGAGTGTGAGTGAAATGGTGGCACAGATCCAGGAAACCGCTCACCAGACTTCTCTTGGTGGTCATTTTGTATATCCAAAGGCGTTGCACATCGGCTCGGGCGAACGTCCACCTGAGCTCTCCAAATGGGTCAGGGGTCCGGACCCCAAATAATCCCTACGGATTTCAGGGACCGGTCAGGGTGTGCGACTTCCGACCGTATACATCAACTCAGGTGGTCGGAATGGTGATCCCAAGAGCTCGTGGGACCAGTTTGGTGTCTTTTGTGGCCGCTCAAGAAGCGCACCAGAAAAACAGCATCCAATCATCCTAGAGAAAGCGCCAGTTCCCCTCAATCTGATGCCCACATCAGTGCGCCCTCGGGACCTGTCCAAGAGAGCCGCCTGCTGATCTGCGGTGTTGATTGCAGCTCTTGTGAGCTTGGCCATGACTAACTCTGAAGAAATTGCAGCTTGCGCCTCTTGCGGCAGAGATCTAAAGAGTGCGTAAGCCGAACCAGAGATCAAAGTCTGCCCTGCAATCATGGCCGTTGCGGCCATCCCCGCAGAAATAAGAGATTCCAGCTGCACAGGTTGCCCTCTACGCCGTTGGGTGTAGCAGCGGTGAGTGCATCAGCGGGGACAGGTTCCGCTTGTAGCTCATCGTGGATGGCCGGTTTGACATTCGCGTCGTCCTCGAGGTAGGGGTCGTCTTTGACTCCCCAGTCAGGGGAAGGTGATCTCGTCCAGTCTGGTAGATTGTCTTCCATCAAAAGGCACAGAAAGAACTTCACAAAGCGAGCCACAAAATCTGAAAACGAGCCACATTTGGAAAAGCTACGATTCACGGCACCTGTCACGAAATCAGAGCGCCTCGACGATCAACACGGTGACACCGTGTCCAAAGTGCTGCACCTGCCACGAGATCTGCACTTCGAAGTAAAGCCGCTCCGATCCCTTGCACCTGTCACGAAAAGTCGACTTTGGACCAACAAAACACGTGGTTCCCTTGCGCCTGCCACGAAAAGTGACCACCATGTGTGAAAATGCGCACGGCACCACATCGAGAGCGCAGTCGCTAGAAGCACCCGCCCTGGCTCATGAATGCACTGTAAATAGCAGCGAACTAGCCGCACACGCCCGCGCGCTTCAGCGATCTAAGGATCAGCTGCTTTTCGACTACCGTAAGAACCCCTAAGTGTGTCCACACTGTTAGGGGGAAAAAGAACCACGAGCACCAAAAAAAAACCGTTGCAAAAAAGAAAGCGCAAGTAACAAGAAGTCACCCAAATGGAAACCCTAGGAAAAACTCAAGACTCACCCGATTCGATCCCATGTGGTTCTATCGTTCTACCTCTTGAGATTCCCACGCCGCTCCTGCGAAACCCGATGGCGAGGACGTTTCGGGCCTTGGCTGCGGCACGGCCTGCCTTGGTCGAATCGTGACGTGTAACGACCAGGTCATATCCGCAGCTGTTGTAGCGCACAAAGAAAGAACTGAACCACATCCCCCCAGACACGACACATGCGACTGGACTATATATTTGCCGGCTACATTGATCCCCTTTGAATCACTCCAATGTAGGTATATAAATAGGTCAGTCTTATGAAGTGTCTGGGTCCAGTGTCAACCACTTTGGGAGACTCGATGATGACTCCAGTGTCCACCAGTCCAGCTGCATCAAATCGTCCTTCGTCCAGTCGTGCATTGGAACAGATCCAATGAACCAAACGGCAAATGGCGGCGGAACTCGGAGCATGTCTCAAAAGCGGTGAGTCTTGCCTGCAACCTGCAGAAACATCTACAAGGTTGATACCAAGCAAGGCAGATGTACAGGCACAACAGACCCGCAAGAACTTGCGAATGAACATCCTTGCAATCCCAGCTTTTGTATCCAGTAGCAATACCCTCCCCTGAACAATCTAGAAGTGGACTTCGGACAACCCCTTTTGGTAGAGGACAAAAACTGTTCCGGGCCATTGTCCACTACACATCTTGGGCGAACAGGGTGGGATGTTGCCACACCTTTCCAATTTCTCTTCTCTTTGGGAAGGGGTTGATGTCGTTGGACCTTTTTCTAGGCTGCAGCCACAGCCACGGCTGCAGCCGCCATCTCTGCTGCCTTCTGTGTCACCATGCCAGCCGCCAGGGCAGCTGCATGAGTGGCCTTCGTGGGCGAATGTCGCGTCGCACGACACATGTGACATCATGGAACTGCAACATGTGTTGCATCATTGGAAATGGATTGATATGGATTGATGATTTACAACATCATTGGAAAGTCCATGTCCGAAACACCAATCCCGGACAGGAATGGCGAGCCATTCATCACCGTGGCTGATCGATTCGATATCAGTCCGTGTCCAGGTTCGTCCGGGGAAATGGACTGAATCACAGACTGAAACCGGAAAAGACCTTGGGGAATGTCATCATCTCATCCATCTCATGCCACCCTCCAGGCAGGATGCCTCCATGCCTCTTTCTGTGACGCTCTGTGGCCCGAGACGAATCCAACCCCTCAGATTTGAAAGGTCCGGGTGGAGGGTCCTGGATGGCGGATGGCTGATGGCGAGTGAGGTTCATGTCCAGCAGCCATCAGCTTGAATTCTGAAGTTGTGCATTCTGCCGCAGAAAAGGTGGAATCAACTATTCGACCATTGAGTATATATTGAGCTTAGCAGCTTCAGCACGCAGCACATGTGGCAGAGCAGCTAAGATATGGAGTCAACAAGTCGAGAAGGAGCATCGAACAGTCTGCAACTGCGAAGCGTTGTGCCCGCCCGCTTGGCAAAACAGCTGTTTTCCAGGACTCCACGGTTTTCGTCGGCCGGGATGGGTGACTAAGTCTTAGGTCACAAGCGAACCCAAGGTCACAGCGACTCAAATCATCATCATCATCATCATCATCATCATCATCATCATCATCATCATCATCATCATCATCATCATCATCTTATTTGATCCAGGGTAGGGGTCATAGCCTCACACAATTGACCACCTATTTTTCACCATCACCTTTCCTCTAGAAAGTCGTTCTCCAAACCGTGCCGAAACCGCATGCCGCAACCGCTCTTGCCTTGCCGACTTCGACTGCCAACAGCTCTGGGGACATCTTCTCGTTCACCTGAGCTCGCCGCGGACTGCCCAGCGGACCGCCGCGACGAAGAACAGGAGCCGAAAACAGCGCCAAAGAATCCGAAGAAAGACATCAACACAGGGCAAATGATTTGAGTACTCAGCCAGTACCGTACAGTCGAGGAACTGCTGTTCCCCCACCACGTACTAATACCATACCACTAGGGGCTATAGTATATAGTATAAGTACCTTCTTAGCAGGTGGGACGACCGGGGCCAGCACTGGGAGTGTCCAGTCCTACCGAACCTGAGGTGCGACGGGAGGAGCCGACCCTCCCCTTAGCCTCAAGTGGTTGGCATCTCCAACAAATCCTGGGCTTCTTCCATTCCATGTCGACGTTGAAACACAAAGTCTATACTGAGTTGATACATGCTCAGCCAACAACATGCAAGTCAAACCAGCCCTACATGAACCGACAAGGAGACCACATCTCCCGCCACTCCCCGTCTCTCCCAAAAGGAAGCCGACTGGTCAGAAAACGGGAACGATCGAGTGAACATAGATTGTTCTGATCACATGGAAGTGGATGAAGTTTGATCTCTTCGAAGAAGACTTTCCGAACAACCACAACTCGTGCCCCTCCACTTCCATTTTCAGGATCTGTTGGGAGGATTGGGGAAGGATTCTGGTTCCGCTCCCCAACTGTCAGAGCTATACGTATATATAAGCCTATAACGATTCACCAGTCATGGTTCATTGAGCCGAGTCCTTGGGGGACGTGAGGTACCGCAGCCGAACGGTTCCAGTGGCGACTGCACCCGCATGCCGCATGCCGGCAGCGCTCGATTCAAGTGGCACAAGCATCGAAGGTCACCTCACCAGCCTCGGGTTCCGCCGTTTTCAGAAGGTGGAAACTGCGAGGGGCGATGGTGTGGGCGATGGTGTGGGCCATTGAAACAGCCCTTTGGGCGGCAGTGCTGGCTGAAGATCCACGTCAAACACGTCAGGCTCAGGCCATCCCGTTGAAGGGAGAGACAATGGACCCACGACGGGGGTGATGGAGCAACTCCTGAAGATACAGCTGGTCATTATAGCTTCATGTGCAATGTTGCTGATGTTGTTTTGGAACAAATCAACCATGCTTCAGATATAGTGGTTTTCAAGTTCTCCCCCTCTTTGTCAGTGCAAGGGATCTATCAGCGGTCTATTGGCTTTCTGGCTGCTGTCTTTTGACCCAAACCTGCGGATCACCTGCATCTGGGACGTCCAGCTCGTTCCACAAAAGCGGTTTCTTTCGCCAAAGCCACGATCAAGGCGGAGAGCTCGTCCGCCTCCCAAGCTGGCAGGCCCAACTCATTGGCCGCCTGGGTGGTGGCTGGAGAAGCCTGCGGCTATTCATGGCTGTTAAAAGAGCTCTATCAAAGGCTAGAACATGGTTATATAAACATGGAACTTATATTTGTATAAACAGTATCAAAGGCTCGACTCTATCAAAGGCTGGTTAGAACATGGATCTTTTATAAACGTTTCTCGACTCTATGCTGTATGCTGGAACATAGTTCTTCAATCTGACACAGTGTCAAATGGACTTACAGTTACAGTAATTGAGATTCTCTTGGCAACATGGAGGGACTGTACAGTACTCCGAGAAGGAGTCGGAAACAACCTTCTATAACAAACGTGACTTTCTTCCTGGACACTGTTCCTCGAATCCTGAAGCAAAGACTTCACTGAATGGTCAAATGATTTCGGGTTGTACAGTGCCGATTGAGTGCCTCTCCTCTAACTTGGGCACCAAGGATTGACCAGCAAAGGATGGGGTCGATCGATGAATCAGGGCCAATCTCTAACGACTGCCTTTGGTCTTGATGTTTGAGCTCGCTGGGGGTTCACTCCATGTGCCAGATCTGTCTCATGAAATGCTATTGAACCACGTTCTACACTAACCGCTCCGTAAACCCATGCACCGCATTCTTCAAGTCAAGTGCTGGTTGACTGAAACCTCCTGGCTTCACCTCTCGTAGTCCGCACGTTCCTGTGCGGAAAAGAACAGTGCTCGCCACTCAGGGCGGATGTCCGCCCTCAAACAAGAAGTGGAACATTCCGCAACATTCAGCTTCCACGTGATCTACTTTCGGACTTTCCCCTCTCCCCGCCCTCCGTTTGACAAACCCAAAGTCAAACGAAGATCCAGAAAATGAGCACGTTTCCTGCTGATGTCCAACGTTCGCCACGACTTCTCCTCCCACTCTGCCGCTCTCCCCGCGCGCCGCCACCGCGACCTGGGTAAAGCGAGCCCCGCCTTCTCAGTGGCCAGGCCGGCCAACAGAGCTGCTTCCGACCGGCACTTAGCCGATGCCTCGGTGAGGTCGAACCGCGGTGGAAACGATAACCTTTCACGTCGAAAACACCGGTAGCACCGGTAGTCCAACAAGGGAAATCCCTGAACTGGAAATCATATGAGAGAGGTCTGGTCTGACCTGGAACCAAAGCCACAGGGGTGAACGATGTGTTCACATCTTTTCATGTCGAAAGAAAACAACAAAAACCTTATATCATGTTGCATCGCGACTGTGTTGATCTTATCCCCTTGCTGGGATTTCAAAGTCACCATCAAAGTCATCACCAGTCATGAAACGTGTTATTTGCAAACTTCCAAGGGTGATCTCTTTTGTCAGAATTCCTCATTGAAACGAAGTCAACATATAATCAAAAGTATTCAAAAGTGACTACCCCACTCATGGGGTAGTCCACGAGAACCATGTGGTCCTCGATTCATGTTCGGTTTCCTTCCAAGGAGTCCTCTTTAAAAGAAACATGGATCTTTCAATCAAAATAATCAAAGGGCGCCCGTGTGAAGGCAGCTTCCTTTCTTTTTGAAAACACGTTGGGCCGGAGAATCCATGGCAGATGTTCTTAACGGTTCCGACCGAAAGAGATGAACCGCCCCATGTCACACACATGGTCCGGTTCCCTGTGACTCACCCACTCTTAACGAAGACATGTTCGGAACGAGACTAAGCCTGCTTCGTTGGGCAGAAGATGTGACTGAACCTTTTGCCGGAAACCAGTGCCACGTGGTTTGACGAACCCTGCCAGGTGGTCCAACATCACGGGGAAAGAAATCCATGTGAAATCACACACGCACCTTCATGTCACCCCCCTGCCTGGGGGAAGAGAGAGAGCTCCCGCCCCCTCACGGCTGGGCGGGAAAAAGAAGGATCTCTAAACCGAGGACCGGGTTCTCAGCCGGGTCGACCAATTTGGTGTGAAATGTGTGTCGCTGTTGGTCGCTGTTGGTCGACCGGGCGATGCCCAGTATAGACCTGGCCGAAGAATGTCTCCACCTCTCAGCCTCTCAGCCAAAACTCTGCAGCCAAAACCTGCGAAACCTGCGACAGCAATCCCAGGCAACCAGCAATCCCAAGAAGATCACCATTGATCTACAAGGCTTTGGAGCACACACCCTGAAGAATCCTGCAACAAAAATGCTCTCTTGGATGAGCATTTTCCCCTATATCAAAGAGTTGGTTTTCCACTTCCAAATCATCCGGAAAACTCCGCCTGGTGCCAAGTAGCAGCTGCCTGCCGCCCAGCTTGCAAGGCCTCTTCAGCCTCGCTTTCGGGTCGTCCATCCACATCGGTGCACCGTCCATGGAGGGAGAGGGAGGTGGACCTAGTGGACAGTGTTCGGCTTCCTTTCAGGACCCATTTTAAGGAGACACTGGGCAAAAAAAATACATACAAAGAACTATAAAATGAAAACATTTTGGTGACCCCCTTGCGAGGACTGGTCATCATCTGGACAGCGTAGCTGGGCCTTTTCGAATTGGCAGGTTCTCCTCACAAAGGTTTAAAGGGACGTCCAAGCTTCCGCCGGGGTGGCCGGTGGTTTCGAATGAACGATGCGGTTCGGCGGAGATTGCTCCGTGGTTTGGAGGAAAAGACAAAAAAAAAACACCAATCAAACCTATATCCCAAATTCCCCAGCGACAGGTGCAACTGATGGATCTCTATGGAGCCTTCCGAGACCCTGCCAGGAGTTCCTGGAATCGGAGATGGTCTTCGCCCAAGTGCAAGACGGATGATCATGCTTGGTAGAAGGATAGATCGCTACCCACTTGGAGTCGGTTCTCATTCAAAGCTTCAGCGCCCACGAAATTTGGACAGTCCAGAAGGATATATATTTCAAGAAGGGAATCGCCCAATGAAGAAACTCAAAGAACTAAACAATCATGGAAGTGGAAAATGGGCCTGGGAAGACCATGTTTGTTGGAGGGAGGGTAGAAACCAACTGAGGCAAGGTGTCCTTCCCATCCGATGTGACCATCCGCCTTTGGAGCCCTCTTGATCTGCGCTGCCTGCAGCTTGTGCAAGCTTTGAGCTTGGATGTTCTGCTTCGATTTGTCTCAGGACCCGGGGGCTTAGATGTCTTGCATAATCAAACTGACCACCCTAAGAATCCGGCCTAGGCCAATTGCCCCGGTCATTGGATTTCAACATCGAAACACAGGTATATCAGAGCAACCACTCGCAAGATTCAACATTCATCAACCAATTGTCGATTTACTCAAAGTCAACAAGAACATGCAAAGTAACAAAAACATGCAATGTAAACAATGGGTCGATGAGAGAATCTTTGGAAGTCTATCTACTGCCTGGTTCACTTGGGGAAGGATCAATCATCTGGACTTGACATAGTCCACCATACAGGACCATACAAACTCCTTGGGGAAGGATCATGTCATTAAACGTTAATGGGGTTCCCCAAATAGATACAGAACAGGTTTCCAGTTTAGGGATCGAACACCCTTGACTCCGGGCGTGAATCGCCACCGTTCGTTCCTTCGGTGGGATCGCCTTTACCGCACAGACATATAAAATGCGAGACATGGATCGTTCCGATCAGCAAACTTCCCTTAAAACCTGTCCTGTACAGATCAATCCGATTAAAACCTGCTTGCAACATCTTCCAGCCGCAAGTTCACCAAGTTCTGACATGCCTCACACCGGGAACGATGGACATCGCGAGCCTGTGGCGCGCTTGGCGGCGCGCTTGGCGGCGCGCTTGGCGGCGCGCTTGCTGCCTCCGGGCGTTCAGCAGGCGTGGCCTAGCGACGACGGCAGTGAGGGTGATGAGTCCCTGCGAGGGTTCGGGTGAGTTCTCAGCCTCCCTTACCTCGTGCGTCCGGTTCGGATGGACGATCAGTCCGTCTCTTCTCTTCCGGTTCCATCGATCGCCTGATCGTCTACTTCTTAGAATGGTTGCTTGATGGATGTTGAATGGATCAAATGTCAGGCTGTCAGGCTTCTCTCGATTGAACAAATGGGGAGAGTCATGAGTCAACCAATCCAAACCACTCCACCAGACTGCCAGATTTGCCAAAACACTCCGGTGTGATTTGGGGGGTCGATGGGGCGGCATATCGTCCATTAGTCGATGGAGTGTCTGGGAATTCGGGTCTGTCCATCAATGTCCTAAAACGCACAGATGGTGAGGACAAGTCCGTGAGGAGTCCGTCCTTGGTGGGAAGGGAGTTACAGTTGTTCAAGAAAGCCACCCATTAAACACTTTTAGACTGGCCAAGGGCTTGGGTGAACGGGGAAGATGGATACGCCGGGCTCCTCAACTCCCTCCTGAGCACCAGCTAGTAAAACAAACAAAATCATACGTACATTCAGGACCCTCTCCTAGGTTTCCAAATTTTCCAATGAGCCAGGTACTCATATGCAATAGCACTCTGTGCTTCGCTTGAACATGACGAGAATAGACCACACCCTGATCATGTTCCTCTCTGCCCCTGACGTGCATGGTGAATGTATCACTTGCCAAACACCTTGGCCTTGGTCTGTGTAGGTTGCAAGACCAGCAACTGTGATGAGTTCACAAAGAACTGGTGAATGGCCAGGATTACAGGCTCAATGGCCAGTTCCTGTATGCTCGTGCCTCATCACAAAGGGACCACATCAACCTGTGGGAATGCCAAAAGTATCATAAGGAACTGGTGTGCGATCCAAAATAACAACTTCACTAACTCATCACTAGAATTATAATCTATATAAGTCATGAATCAATGACTATAACAACACGGACCAACAACGATTGTTAATATCGATGATGGATCAGAAGCCACCTCTAGAACTCATGAATAAAAAAAACAGTCAGTGGGTTCAATCATCCTAAGCAGCAACCGTTGAACCATGTTGAACAGTTGAACATACAAAACATAGCTGTGGGTCGCACCAAATGGCACCAGGATATCTTGGACCTACCGACGAGACGCTGGTTTGCTACGTCTCGTGCGGAAGGGGGGGACGCTCCAGGTAGGTCAACCCCCTTTCCATATCTGAAATCACCACCCAGGACCTCCTCCCCCAAAACTGGGAGAATGGGCCAACTGCCGAACCTAGCTGGTCAGCTGGCCTCCTTAGCGGGCACCGACGCTGGCGCAAGCGCAGGACCCGGTGACACTGCAGCTGGCGCAGCGCCAGGTGCAGGACCCGTGTGGGTGACGGTGGCAGCCTGCAGGTGTCGACGACCGGTAAACAGGCCTGTTCAAAACACACAAACCGCAAGCACTCCATGTAGTTGCATACGTTGAGATCATAAGTGGGCTAAATATGGCTAAATGGTATTCATTCGATTTATGACATACATGCATGGTCGTGGTCCAACCACAAAATGGAGTCGTGAGTCGTACGGACCAGTCCTGTCGAAGTGGAGATTTTTGCTCACTAAACATGTGGCTGTGGGTCAAAACCAGCCTCAAACCAGGGTAGGTTGACCTCCCAGATTAGTCTGTTCTGTTGTGGTCCAAAAAAGAGGTGTGTTCCGATGCCCATGACCGTCATGACCCACAGCCTCCCTGCGGAGCTCCTCAGAACCTTCACCCAGGTGCCCTCACCTTCACGACTGGAGGCCACTGGGGTGGAGCCCTAATTCAGGTGGATCAGCCTGTCTCAGGATCAGCCTGGTCCAAGCCAGCGCGGAACGATCCCAGTTGATCCGGCCGCTCGGCGGTCGGGTCGATGTCGATGTCGATGTCGGGTGCGTCGATGTCGATGTCGGGTCCTGCCCTGGAGGCGCTTCTCTGCTGATCTGAGCACCACAGCACCACCTTTTAAAAAGCAACGAAAAGGGGCAACAATTGATCGATGGAGCTTTCGACTGCGTATACGACCCCCAAAAACCAGCCTCGTAATTCACAATACATAAGACCAAAGACCAACCAAATACCTGACGTAATTCACCTTCACTCCATGGAGCTCCATTCCGCGATTCGGCCGAATCGCGGGTTCCACCCCGCCACGCCGCCTGTGGACCTGTCGATGCCACCTCATCGGTCCTGGCGTGAGAAAGTGCCGCCAGCGGCAGATTCTGGTGTTCTATAGGACTGGGCGTGTATTTTCACTGGGAGACACCCTGGCCCAATGGGTACTCTATGTTCCTTCTTCCAGGGGGGTTGACAGCTGCAAGGTCTCCATGTTTTGATACATACCCAAATGGAGATGGCTGTAGCACAGGGCATAGACGTCCCTCAAATGGAGATGGTTCTATATAGATGGTTCTAGGACTTCCCCTGAAAATTTGGATGGCTGGGCTGTAGATGCCTAATGAATTACAGGTCGCCTGTCGACTTGGGTGTTTGAGAATGTGAAAAACATCTCAAGGAGATTGTCATGCCATGTCCTGCCATTCAATATCCGAAACATCTGTTCTGTTCAACCAAGGAACAGCACACCAATATAAGTAATGTCGTCCACTCGAGTGAAAAACAACGAAGGAACGCATGGAAGTTGAAGTTCTAAGGCGTGGACGAAAAAGAGCTCCTCCCCCAGCCCAAAGGCCCCAAAGACGAATCTGAGCCAAATCCCAGTTAGACAAAAGTTTAACATATTTAAACATAAGCCACTACATAAGCCCATTGACGGATCAGTTGGGGTGCTACTTCTGGACCAGTCTTCTGATAACAAGTGGCCTCTTCGACACGTTGACGGGCCTGGGAACCTGTTTGACTGATTCAGGGTCAGCCGAGTCACCCCTATACCTTCCTACAGTACCATCTCCCACTCCCTCGAGGATTGGGAAGAAGAAGGATGTTCCCCCAAACCCATTGGGCCAAGGGCTCCCCCGTCCAATGGAAAAACACACGTTCCCCGGTCTCAGCCAGAATTGGCTCCGTCCAGACGGATCGTCGTCGTCTTAGGCGCCGGTTCCGGAAGAACCACCGGGTCCGGTCCGGTTCCGTCTCCTGGGATGAACTGAGCTTCGGCCTGGAAAGCGGCAGTGCAGTGGAGGGAATGAAGCAAAGAACAAAACAGAAACCGGTCTAACGGCTCGGTCTCCTTCGAACTCGGTCCGGTCTTAAAGAAAGAAACGCAAAACAAAAAAAAACACCAGGTGCGGTCTTCGGCCCAGTCGCATATAGCGTGCACCGACGGGTCCGGGCGGGCAGCCAAGAAGTCTTAAGTCATCCAAGGCTTGGGGGTTTCAACCCAAGAAGCAAACACAACGGACCATTGAATAAACCATTTTTCGGGATCGATCCACACCTTCGAGAAGGTACTGGGACCCAATGAAAGCCTACATCGTTGCGTGTCTCCAATCGCCCTCTTAAAGTGTATATATATATATATAGGTACATCCATATAGGGGTTAAACATATACTATATCTGTATAATTAAAAGGGACACCCTCTGGAGACTCCAAAGGCCGGAAGCGATCCTGAAAGACTCACATCTCCCTTGATAATCCAGGAAGATGCCCAGTGGTCACCGCATCAGATCATCTAAGGGGGGAGATCCTATGGTCCTACCCTATATAAGGACTGTCTTTGGAACACCACCTGTCCCACCCAGCGGAGTCCCAATATAACCAACCCCCCTCCCCTCCCCACCGCCTGCGGTAGCTGCCGGAAAGAAGTCGCCCGGACTGGTGGAGCTCTGCTCCCGCGCGGCTTTCTTCAGCTTCAACTCTTTCCGGGCCTTCCTGCTGATAGACGTGGTGGCACGTGGTGGGACGTGCTGGGACGGGAGTCGGTTTGTTGTTGGTCCGACATTCGGTTTGCGCATGGACCGAAAACAGCTCAAGACTTGCTGCCTTGAGTTCCTGGGTCTCCTGGGTGGTGGTCCGCATTGGTTTAGACCAAGAACATGCTCTATATGCCTCTATATATAGTGGTTTCTGAGAAAATGGCACCATCCCGCAAAATATGCCAAAGGATCCGAAAGGTGATGGATGGTCTAGCGTTGATGAACGGGGGGAGTCGGAGACTTTTGGGGGAGTTCTTCCTAGCGTTGATGCACACCATTGAATGACCTATAATGTATGAATGTTCTGAATGGTTCAATAAGCTATGATTACATATAGTTTTCCTATAGATGTTATATAATATAGAATTGGTGCCAAAACACACTGGGGGGTGTCCTGATTCTCCAAACAGCACCAGGATCGTCAAATGCCGTTTGCTGCTGAAGTCAGAATCGATCCAGTTTGCTGCTGAACTGCAATTGTAGACCAAATTGGCGACTCATTCAAGGCCGGAGAAAGGAACACACGGAATCCTCCTGTTTGTACGTCGACTCCAAGTTTGAACATTTTTGAACAAGTTCTTTGTGTAAGCCCTCCTTTGCTTTCATGTACAATGTACATGCAGTGGTTTAAGTTATAGACGGCACAGGCCCCTACACCCTCTCGTCCAGTGATTGGTCTCGTCGCCTCCTTCGCGTCTCCGGATCCGTGTCGGTCTCCCGTTTGGTCGGAGAACGCCTCATGCGGTACAGCAACTGCATTCGCGTGGCCGCCACTTCGCGCTTCTGCTCCTCACTACCTGAGGGACCGGAGCGGCGACGGGAAGTACGAAGCACCTGCCGGCCTGCGTCCGATCATTCGGGTCCATTCCAGGTCCTCCATGTCTGCGAGCACCGGTGGCCATGAAGCCTTTCACTCAGATTCAAGTTTTAATCTTGATGAATCTTGGGTTCCAAAGAAAGAGGCAACTGGTGACACTTTGCGACTTTTCCACTAGCAAAGCGCCATTCTCAGCTTAAAACCCATCAAAGAAAGAGCCATGTGATCGTCAAACCGGAAATGTTATGATGTGGCTACGGATCAACAAACATATTTGGGACCTCCAGGTCTGTTTTTACGGTGTTTCCACCGGGAAGTCGGATGGTACCCTCGTTTGAGAGTGATTATTTGATGCATGCCTTTAAACATTTGTTAAAACAAAACAAATCTCATTACCCCCAACCCCCAACTCCCTGGACGGCAAAACAATGGAGCACTGAAAACAATAAACACATATAACAACGCCTTTTGCCCAAACACATAAACGAAGAAACTGCGCGCTGGCAGTTTAAATCTTTATTGACTAACACCACAATAACCAACCAGCCTATATATTTTAGCACAAGACAGCACTTGTAAGTCTATTGCTGTGATTTCCCGGTAATCAATGACTGGTTTCAATGGCTGGTTTGTGAAGCAAATAAGCAGATCAAAGCAGGCTGTGATTTCCATATTGTTCCCACCGATCACACCTCTCCGGCATCTTGCCCAGCAGCACCGGGCCAGAGTGAAGAGCAATGGTCGGACGGAGGACATGAGGCGATGGTATTCCTCGGACATGCGTCACGAGTCACCGTCCCGGTGTCAAGTAGAGGTGTTCTTATCACATTAAATGCCTTAAGTTAACATTAACCTGGAGAGTTAGTTTTTATTTCAAGCAAAGGCTATAAATACCTGGAGCAATGGAGCAACCAAAATCTGTCCAATGGAGATGTAAGTGGCGAAAAGACAAAGACATGTTTTGACATGTTGGTGTGTCCATTCAAGAGTCAAAAAACTGTCTGCTGCTTGACACAAACCCACAGTACATTTCCCTGTGAAGGTCCCGCGAAACAAAAACCACCCTGTAATGTCTTCAGTATAACAAGGCGAGCATGGTGACGTAAGTCAAATGTCCGGATATGTCCTGATCTTCCACCCATTCTGAGCCAATCCATTCATTGGGAATCCTCAATCCTCATTCTTGGGGACGATCAAGCAAGAACTTATGACCATCTGCCAACCAACCGCCCACGAGCATGCCAACAAAAATAACACTGCTAGCTCGCTTCTCTCCGAGACACATCGCGCGGCAAGGTGGTGGTGTGCTGCTGGTTGATCTCAGGCGTGCTTGGGAGGCTGCTGAGTAGAAAGAAAGACCATTGAGGGGGGCCCCCATCCGCCCCCACCACTGGTACGAGAAAGCAACAAAATTCTGGATCCGTGTGGACCTTGTGGACTGCAGTTTGGTCCAAACCCCCATGGCCCATCATGGCCCGCTACCTTGCGCTACCGAGACTCGGTATGACGCGCGGGTCGGGTCGCAAGCACGTCGACGCTTAAGCAAGCGACGGACGTAACGAGACCACGGAGTCCAAGATCAGAGGAATGAGCCCGAGGACCGTCGACGGTACCGGAACGGTGCCAGTCTACCGAACGGTATCAGTCTGACAGAACAGGCGGAGGTTCGGAACAGTCGGGCTCCAATGGGCAGGCTGGCACACGCAAACATTGGGGCGCGGGGAACGATGAAACAACATGAGG